CGAACGTCAACAATACTTCTGACTGCAGATCAATTACTCACTGTCTACACACACATTACATTTCATTCCCGCGTCACTTTGTCACCCTCTTATATATACCCGACTACCCTATATCTAGCAAATACTAGAGCATTCGCCAAAGTACAGGATAGTTCTAGAAACGTGTCGTCACAGTAGTCATGTGACTCGCTGACGCAACACTGCCCCTCCTTAATATTGTTCGTCCCGAACAATAACCACATACAATAAACCAATAACAATAACTTAATTAAAATGTACAGAATTACAAACACAAAATTACAATTCAACAAAGTCTCTTAATTTTATGGAACGTATCTTCTTCCGTACTGGTCTCCGTCTTGTTGGCTTCTGCTTCATGTGGGGTTCATCTGCTTCATCAGTAAATGTCCTATCATCGGTAACAGTCACATCAGTGGTAGTAACTTCATCAAGAGCTTCACCGTTTCCCTTCTCAAAACTGAGTAGAGTTTCTTCTTCGACGTTGGCTTCTTCAGGTGGCACGTCTTCAGCAGCGTCATTTGTTCTGTTTCCCACTTCGTCCCAACTGAAATGTCCTGGACCGTGATAATGCCAAAGCCTGTTGGCATGCACCACTTTTGGCTTACCTCGCCGACCACATTTTATCCGGAAAGTCACGTCTGAGAGACAATTGTCTTCTCCATGGGAAGGCCCATATGACATAGTGGACTTAGGAGACTTCCCTTTTGTCTTCCTGGGATTATACAACCATACCTTGTCTCCTGGTACAAAGCTGACTTCAGTAGATCTCTTATCATAAGTTCTTGAAAACGTCTGCTGATTCGATGAAGTTTTACGCACTTGATGATGAATATCATCCATCCTTTCCGATAGCACTTTCACAAACTCTGACACATTCTCAGGCAACTCTTCATAAGGTGGGTGTCCTGTTGACAGATTCACTGGCAACCGAAGTTCCCGACCAAACATTAACTTTGCTGGAGTGTATCCAGTAGTTTCATGCTCTGCTGTCCTATAGGCCATCAATAGTGGAGGGAGTAAGACATCCCAGTCATCTTGGCGGCTATTACAAAACTTTGCCAATTCCTGTCCTAGTGTCCAGTTGTACTTTTCTACCATCCCATCAGACTGTGGGTGAGGTGGCGTTGTCCTGGTCTTTCGGATGCCAAACAACTTTCTGCATTCTTGGAACACAGCTGATTCAAAGCTACGGCCTTGAT